GGGGTGGCCAACCTTTTGCATACCATGCGCCAATTTTTTGATAGACGAGTTCAGATGCGCAGTGGCGTACCATGAGTGTTAGCAGCCTGGGGCGGAGAAAAATTTCGGCCACCCGTTAATTAGGTATTTCAATTTATAAGAAGAAACTATTTATAATCTATAATTTATAAGAGAACTATCTTACACGGGTAGCTACACTACCCGTATAAAGTAGTTCTATATGACATCAGTGGTGTACGTGAATACGAATGCATAGTGTAACGTACAAGCAAAAAAAAAAAAAAAAAAAAAAAAGGTCAACAGGTCGATTGCATCGAATTATGTATGCAATATGCAATGAAGCCGAATCTGGCAATGTTGCTCGGAAACGACTGAAGCGCCACTTGTAATCGTCCAATGCACCATGTGTTGGCTACCCCCGCAGTAGATCAATAGAAAAAAATGGAAAATATTGTATTTTGTCTATTACTGATCTCTTATTTTGTCACCCATATGTCCAGCACCCACTTAGGAGTAGCTCAGTTGACAATTGCCCAGTTGTCTGTCACCTAGATGACCATTGCCCAGTTGATGATGTCTCACTTGGAAAACTGTTCTAAAATTTTAGTAACAAAGCTCAATCCCATTTAAAGTGCTTTAAATGATACCTACCCTATATCAATTTTTCATATACAATTACCTGTTGGATGTGAATCTCTCCTCTCACATGTTCACCATCTTCAGAAGGCTATTAGATCTACAAAACAGCTTTTTTTTCTTTCCTATGCCAATTGATAAACTTCAAAGAGAATTCATGTACAAGACCTGATCTCTTAATATCTGTGAACTGTCGGGTTGTTGATTTGGCTGAACAGGTCTCTACTTCTTTAAAAAAAAAACACACGGAAAAACTTAAGTGGATCTTCTGAAAACAGAATGTAAGATGACTCCACAACACCCCAAATATGCTTACATGGGATCATGTAACAACTCCACATTACATTATGAAGGCCTTAGAATATGATGCACTTTATCAAATGTTTTTGACCTGACACAGATCCTATTGGGATTGAAAACATTTGTCATAACGTATTTATATTAAGTTATATTCGCTGGTATATTTTGAAGGTCTTTTGGTGTTATGTAATAGCTTTGGAAAGATTTAGAATCGTTATGCCCCTACACCTTGTCTTAATAAACATATTGGAGTGATCACTAATGGCTTAGACACTACAGAACAAGATTTTTTCCCATTGGAGAACAGCATTACAATCAAGTTATTTAAGGAGATGGATACCAAGATGCAACATTTTTGGTGTGTTTTACCTTCTTGCAAAATTTGGTTAAAACAAAATAATGTCATCATGGAAACAAACAAAGTCTAAGAACATTGTGCTGGTTAAGCAGTCCATCTACAATGAAAGGTTGTAAGAATATATCACTTCTAATGAATGTCATATTGCTCCCTCCAACTTTTGGACTCCTTACAGCAAAGGGTGAAAAGATTTATTGCCATCCCTTTGGCACATCATCTTCAAATGCAACAAAGTAATTCTCACACCTAAAATTCCATGTATCTTTGCCTTCACAAAAATGCACAAACCTGGAACTCAAATATGTCTGGTTATAAGAAAAATGTTTTTCACTACATTTTGTTTTGGAGAAACAGCTTGTTAAGTTTTACAACAGTAAGGCCACATATTATCTTTTTAAAAAATTGCCAGGATAAATTCACATTTACAAAAGAAATATATTCATCCTGGCAATTTTTAAAAAACGTAATTATTAATTTTTATTATTGTCCTAAAGCTAGAGAACTTTTTAACTTTTTTGCACTTAGTGGTGGACGAGTAGCCTACAATAAAAGGTCGACTCTGCCGTGGAGCTGTTATTACATCAATAGCATGTAAAGGACTGAATGATATGAATTCATCTTGTACATATAATCTATCAAGAAATATATTTTTTTTTGTAAACCTCATATTATCCATTCACTATTAATAATTCATTACAATTATCCAAATGTCTTAACAAGACTGCATTGCTGGACAAAGAACACGACTGTATTGGTGACTTTCAACTTCTCTACCCATCCATTAAACTTCTGTCTTGTTTTTGTGAGATCAGGAACTTTCTCCTTGCCAATGTGGAGAATGCCTGCAAATATCATCAAAGTATTTCACAACTCACTCACCTCATTTGTTATTACTACTTTTTCAAGTATGAGGATAAGATATTACATATCCAAGGCAGGGTTATACCCATGGGGATCCCACCTCTTCATAATTGTGTGAACTTGTCATTCGCTGCTAGGAAAAGTTGATCTTACCAGAATTCCAACATCCTATTCTGATCTACAGTATGTGAGATACATTGATGATATCTTTATCTTACGGTGCAAGAAATCCAATCTGCAACTATTACTCCAAACAGTTAATTGCAATCTCTTATGGTCTTCTATTACAACTAAAACAGGAAAGCACAACTTTAGTACATTTTCTAGATATTTCCATTACTTGTACAAATGGTGAAATCCATATCAAAACACAAAATAAGCCAATGTATCAACCTATTTTCATCCTTTACAATTTTTGTGTTGTGAGTTGCTACAACACAAAAATTTCTGCATTTGGGTTTCTGGCATGGTTGATACAATGCTTAAATCAACTCTTTCCAATCACCTAAGATTATAAAACAACAACCTGAGTACAAAAGATAACACAAGGTGAACTGCTTCCCTATCTTGAAGAAAATATAGACATGTGATCAAATGCAATAATGTAAACATATATAAATGTAACCCCACTATTTTCAAGACCTTAAGAAATGATAAATCACAGTGTAGTCACGATGACTCCTCTGGGATTTACTCAATTCCATAGAAAATCCATGGTTTAACAGGACACTAACATATCTGGGCTACAAAATGAAACCTACAACAAAGACAGTATGTAAAGACACTAAAAATACCTTATACAGTTTCCCAGCAATTAATTTTAATTAAAACAAACATTTCAGCCTAATTGATAAGCCTTTGTCTGGTTTTTAAATTGAGATTCTATTTTTTGCAATGTCTCAGCTTTTCTCTAGATTTGGTTACGTTATCATTTTCTTCTTGTAGAACTATAACTGTACTTAACACCAGCCAAGGTCTACAAGAAGAAAGCAATACAGATACAAGAAAGATTTAAGGAACACAAGTATACTGTCAATAAGAAACTCTGCAATATGACATTAGTGGTCATATGCTACCCAATAGGAAGTATGGGTCAAGTGGGAAGACAATACAATCAATCATCAGACTGGCTAAGAACCTCAACACAAGTATTTAAAAACCTTACATATATATAAATCCAATAGAACTTACACTTTTATTGATTATAGGACTGTGGACTATCTACCATGTGGAGGTCTCTGATGAACTTTAACATGACTGTCTTTAATAGGACCATTCTATATCATGTTTTATTGTTATTCTTATTTTAATTTGTTATTCCATTTCCATTATTTTATATATTATATATAATATATAAAATAATGGAAATGNGGTCAAGTTCTTACACTCTGCACATTCCCGTCCCGCGCAAGTTTAACAATTACGACGAAGCGCTATCTATTACAGTACAGCGTCGTTTATCCGAAAGAGTTCCAGTCGGCAAAATTAAGTTTCCGTTAGTGCTGTGGCGCTGCGACCTTTGGCTATGTCTCGGGCTACTCCAATATTTTTTTGTTGGTGCGCGTGTTTTAGCTGGCAGCACTGGCACTTTTGTGTGGCGTTTTTCTGAAAACTGTCTGTGGTGCCGATACCAGATTAACTTCTAAAGTACAATTTTTGTTTATTTTTATATTCTTCAATATATTTATTTTGTTTGTACAAAATAAAGAAAAATTTTTTAACGATACAATAATCACGATTATTATAATAAAAATTTTCGTTAGGCTTAACATAGACGAAAATTTAACGCCAAGCGACGCGCGACGGAGAAAAATTGGAACACGGGATAGATTAAAACAGTATTTTTCGTACACGATCGGTTATCCGAACCCCAGTCCCGATTGATTCGGATAATCGACGCTCTACCGTACTCGACTTTTACGTCCGATGCAATGTAAGATTCTGGCGTAATAATGGCCAGGCGGAACATTATTGTCGGCAAAAATAATTCAACGGCCGACTTACTTTCGTCGCGCTATTCCGCGGAACACATCGTACCGTCAACGCGATTTTGATTACCCGCTACGAGAAGCGCTCGGATACACCGGACGACCGTTTTAAAAAAGAACCAGCACCGTTCTACGCTTTCTAATTGAAATAACTTTACCTGGGAAGTAAGAAAAAAATCCCTTAATTCGCGCTCTTTCGTAATTGCAAGAAATCGAATGTTCCGCCGCGGAGTTAATTCTACGTATCTTTGTTTTCGGCGGTGTTTAGAACTCGTATCAATTATAATTGGGGTCGGACGTAGGCAAAGTGGCAGCCTAGTCGACGTTACCGGTGAAAATTTGATCGACGTACCGTGCGTATTTGCTCGCGATACACTCACTACACGGCAAGGTAGTTTCGGCCGTTAAGACAGACGAAGAACGGGAAAAGATATCTGCCGTAAAATGGTCACGGACCGCCTTAATTAATGCTGAACAATTAAAAACTGATAGGGTAAGGCAAAGTGGAAATCGAAGGCCTTGGGCTACGGCCGTCGGTCACCAAGCAACGGACGGCGACACCGCAACATTGGAATAAGTCAATCACACTGCTGAAGGTTTACTTTTTATTAACAACAAGTTTTCTACGGGAGAAGGGAAGAATATTAAACATAGACAAAGACAAAAAAAAAAAACACAATGGGTGGTATTTCTGTAAATTTAGAATTTATTATCTCTGTATTATTATCGATTTAGCAGAAGTAAGATTTTTTCCTGTTTTTTGGATAAACAGATCGACGTCAGGTGTTATTTAATTTTGCTTCCACGACTAAAATCACGTCGGTCGAGTCACTTTACTAAACAAACCCAATCCCCACCAAAGTCCACAAGTCGTAACCGGAGTGTTTTCCTTCTGCGGACACACACACACCCTACCGGACGTTGCACACATGATTTTTGCCAATGCAGTGAAGTAAAAACGGGAACCGGTGTATAGATACAGAGGCAACGAAAAGCGGGACGAATTAATATCCGGTGAGTTCGGCAAAGGTCTGGTCCAAGTCGTCGGAGATGGCCTTGTATTTCTCCTTCTCGTGAATGAGCTCGTCTGCAAGAAACAAGCAAACCGGTCAGAGGGAAATTTATCAACAAAACAAGAAAATGCCGAGGTCCGGTTAACGAGACGGGCGGTTTGAATCGATTACGTTTCGACGCCTCACAAAGGCCAATTAACAGAGTTAAAAAAGACGAGCGCACCAGGCGGAAAGAGGGCCGAGGGGAAGGGAATGGGGAAAATTACCTTCTAATCTGTCCACTTCCTTCTGCAGTTTCTGAACGGATCTCTCGGCGAACTCGGCACGGGCTTCGGCCTATATTTTCAAGAAAAGATCTTACGGTTAGAATGACCACGATTTTAAATCCCCACCACGTCCCGATAAATCCGCAGATTGAAAAAGCCCATTGGCATTTTAATATTCGAAACTTTAGCGCAATTTTCTGGGATCGACGTCGTTTACGGTAATCGAAAACGCCATTAATATTCCGCTAAAACCTACTTTAAGACAGACAAAGTTTTCCCACGCGATGGTTTCGGAACCGGATTTTAATGCCGAAAAGACCGAAGGAGTCGTTTCCCCGTAAGGCCATCGGTCCACTTTTCGCAGCTTTCTACGCGCCAAAAGCGATTTTCGCCGCCTTTGAGGCATTCTCACCGGTTACGGTCGACCCTTTCCCTTTCTTTTCGCCCACCCTACCCCGCGCGTACGCGTATGTCTATCGCCTTCGATCGTCCGCGATTTGCGGGACGGAAGGGGGGGCGATAGATTACGCTCGTCGGAAGGGAAATGGCAACTTTCCTTTGGAGGAGTGCGTCACTCTGCCAGACGCGGACGACATCAACTCCGACTTCGGGCGATTTTCCGGCGCCCGTCCTTTCCCGGAAACGGAAACTGGACGCGGCGGTCCACCCGGGTTCCGGATCGAACGCGTTGCCACCCGCCACATATTTGATTGGAAAGACGAGTGACGGTAACGCGGAAAGTAAAAGTTTATTTTTGAAAAGAATGGGCAGGCACTTTTCCGCGGTGCCCCGGATGAATAATTGCCTAACGATTTTGCTTAGAATCACCTCCCGTACACCGTAACTACGTAAAGCAAAAAGTAAAGCCGATCCCGGCCGTTGCGGTTTTTACTTACTTACTTTAGTTTACGTAATTAACCACCACAAAGAATAAATAAATCTGCAATAATTCGGGCGAAAAATAAAGTATTCTTAAGAAAAAGACCGTGGGAAGTCTTAAGTTTTACCACGGAAACACAGCGCGAAGTTGTTAATTTTTACGTCTTGCGTCCGTTACGTAACCCACCGTCCACCTTCTTACGTCACTCGTCGCCCTACCTCTTGTAATCTGGAGGTCATTTGCCGTATTTGTGTCTCGTATGCGTCTTCCTTCTGAAGGGCCTGCGTACAAAAATTTCCACGGTTTCATTATCGGTAATGGAAAAAGATCGGACTTACCTCCTTCAGTCGAGAAGTCATGGAGCGAATCTGCGTCTCGTATGCTTCCTCCCTTTGTTGGGCCTATGCCAAGGAAGAACGGACGGTGGAAGGAGATTAATAAAGGAACTAAAGGTACGATTAAGGGGCGAAGAGCCAGGATTTGTCAAGACGAAAATCAAAACGTTTCAAAAAGTAAAATTTTGAAAATTATCGGGCGCTTTTTATTTACCCACAAAAATGTTGGGGCAAAACACACAAAAATTCAAAAGAAATTGAATTTTTCGTTAACGGCAAATACCTGGCAGTTCACAAATCTACTTAAGGTAAAAGTACGGGAGCAGCAGCAGGAAAGCCAGGAGTATCGCATACTTCCGACGACGTTTTGTGCAGTAATTATTATAAAAATATACAATACTTAACAACTAATAAAAACGTATTTAAAAGGAAATTTCGTGCATTCCAGTATTAATTAATAAGCCAGTTACCAGGTACGACTGCGTAGAACAAACTGACCGTGTCCGCGTAAACTTCAATTTTTAAATCCATTGCCATTAAGGCGAGTTTTAATAAGACCCGCGGTTACCAGGCAAAAGTTACGGTTAAAATCATCGACGACGGGCCGATCGATCCCGTTAGTTTCAAACGAAAGCGACTATTGATATTTAATCGTCCAAGAGGTACGAAAATAACTCGGTGCTAAGCATCTTTCGTCGATGACAAGAAAGAGAAAATTCAATTTCAATATATTCCAGTGAAACGATATCGAATCTTTCGCCTAAGATTATATTTTTCTTTTAATAAAATGCCACCCTTTCTTGTCTTTGAAAATTTCTCGCCTCCACCGTTCTGCCGTCAAAGACGTACCAGCGCAATAATAGAAACAATCACTTTGTTCTTTGCAGTTACCGATAATAAAACTTAATAATAAATCTAAAGATGTAAATAAAATTGTGTGTACATAATTTGAAAAAATTACAGTGGAACTCTCATCCATGGAACAGTCGTCTCGACAAATGCGCTGTCTTTAACGCATTTTTTATTGCGTATAGTGAAACTGTTACATTCCACCGAATTATTCTATTTCAGACTTTTATTACAGCCAACACCTTGTAAACCTGCTCTTCTTTTCCTACAAAACATTTCTTGTTTACTACTGTAATAATTGCTAACGTTCCTCGTCGACCTACAGTTCTTCGCCCTTTCGTATTCGGTCGCATTGGTAAAGGCAAGTTATTCACTGCAAACTCACCGACAGTAAAAACAACTACAAGGAGTGAAAAGTGCACACAATGGTCTATTACTGATACACTCAAGATAATCAATGAATCGAGGGTGGAAGCTAGTAAAAAAGATTTATGTCGGAATTGCCAAGAGCGCAATAAGTCCGCTTTTGGAGGACGAGTTAGAAAATCCCACCCGACCACGGGTGAGTTAAAGTGGTCCGCATCGACGAAATTACGAACTCGTTGTCGCAATGTGAATAATCTAGGAGAGGAAGAGGGCCAGAAAAAACGGTTTTCCCCACCTAGATGCCCTCCAAAGAGAGTTCCGGGTGCAAAGAACCAGAAAAGTTTTTTCGAGTGGACCGCTACTACTGTTGAAAGTGCGGGAATTTGTTAAGGAACTCGACATTGCGGATGCCGAGGACGATTATGCCACCGTTCTAAAGCTACACTCGACGTCGGCACGCGCCGAGTCTGCGGGGAAACTGGGGCGGTGGACGAGGAGCGAGCGGATAACTGCATAGACAATGACAAACATCGGCTATGGTCCAGGTGACATTTACAACGTAGTCGAGACTGGATTATTTTTCCAGGCTCCGCTATCAAGGACTTTATCCTTCAAACGTGTGGATGCTTAAGAGAAAGCGCAATTTGAGTTCGCTGGCTTTAATTTTCACCGTACTTTCGGAAGAGAAATGCACTCGAGACGACATGTCGAGGGAAAGAATGACAACCCTCGACTGTTCAAATGCTACTGGAACTGATAAGAAATTGACGGCTATTGAAAAGTCCCACGAAAACTCGTCGTTTCAAAAATATTAATCGTAAGAATCTAACTAAATCAAATATCTACAAACGTCAGGCTTATTGTTCATACAGTTATAGCGGCGTGTTTATCTTTATCATGTATAGCTTTAAGTACATTATCAACTGAGGAGAGACTACTTTCTATTGGAAAATAGTCCAAAATGCATTTTGGGTCTTTTTATTTTTGTACTTATGTAGTCCATTTTACTGTACACCCGCTTTTTTGTTTTTATTAAATGTTTTTACTTTGATTCCCGAGTGTTTGTGCCTATTATCACTGGTGTGACAAGCCCTTGCTATTATCTGCCTCACGTTTGTACATATTTAATTTAATTATACCAAGGGCTTAAAGCAATTTTTGTAAGAATCTAACTGTCACCTATGACGCAAATAAAACAACGTGGGTGACAGCAGAATTGAGCTGTCCTGGAATTCCATTCTGATCATAAAAAGAGGAGAAGATTCCTCCTCGTAATTGATAATTGCACCGCTCATCCTCCAGATATGAAGTTCAATAATATAAAGATTGTCTATCTTCCTTCATATTCTACAGGTGCCTCTCAACCAATGGACCGAGGTATCATAAAGAACTTAAATTTCACTACAGAAAACAGATAGTGATGAATCAGATTCTCCATTTGGACAACTCCAAAGTGTTCAACACCAATACCTTCCTAGCCATCAATTTCGTCTATGCCACGTGGGAAAACGTGACATCCAAAACTATTTTGAAAGGTTTCAAACACTGGAATTATCCAAAAAGGTGATGAAGATACAAGCTACCGACGTCAACGATCCTGCGCCCACCGAAGCCCAAGGAGCCCGGAGTGGCTCGAGCGTGCCTAATTATGTGATCTCCGACATTGCTACGGAAGGAGTCCTTACAAGATGAAGAAATTTTACAATCTGCGATCGCCCCGGAAGAAAAAATAGAGGGAGATGAAGAGGACGAAATAAAATAAAGTGACGAGTGTAAAGCGATTGTTCCTATTCGGAGTACCGAGGAGGACCAGAATGCACTGGAAATAATACAAATGTGAGGACTTGAAAACTTCAAGAAGAATCAGATGCAAATATATTGTCAAACAATGTTTGTAAATTGGAAAAATTGCTAAACAAAAAACTCATTAAGAATTACAGAGGATAATTGGCTAGAGACTTTTTCAAAGTTGTACAAAATAACATACTGATAAAGGACAATATAAGTGCTTAAGAAATGGATTCTGCTGAATATTGAGTGCATTATTGCATTTTTCAATGCATTTTAATCATTCATTTGATGGTTATATTCCACGGTTATAATGAACTTTAGATAGAATGAACTAAAACTAGTGGTTCCCCGGCTGTTCACTGTGTCAGAGTTCCACTGTATATTAAAATAAAATAAGCAAATATGAAAACATGCAGTTAAATAAACTGCAAATGAAACAAACAAATAGCAGCTTAGAGTTAAATCATGCAAAATGAAAAAATGACAAAAAATAAACTAAAATGATAAAAAGCAAGCAACATACCAGATTAAAATGAAAATAAAAGCAAAACAGCTTTGCATTATGAAGAAAAAATTAAAATAAAATTGTAAAAGTGCAAATGGGAAAACCAAATGTTTTACGCAAAGCTCAGTTAATGCAAAATTTGTGCGAAAAACACAAAATTTGGAAAAAATTACTGCTGCTGCTCAAATAAGTCAATAAAATTTCAAAATTTGTTTGTAAAAACAGGAATTAAAGTTGCATTTTATTTATAAAAAAACAAAAGAAATTTACTAAAATATTAATTACCTATCTAATATTTTTGATAATTCTTAATTTAAACACACCAATCATTGAACAATTAACATAATTTAACATTAAAAGGCCCGATATTGAAAGATCACAATAAAAATATAATTATATGTTCAAAAAGAGCAAAAACGTTTATAAATTCTCTCTTGAATATCCAGTATTTATTAAGGACAGTATAACTATAAATTATTGATAGCATCAGATGTGTATAGTTAACTTAGCTTTTGTATCTCTATGCAGATTTTAGTATAATTACAAAGTGTAAATTTATATATTTATTGGATTATCTGTATGTTCAAGTAAATTTTTTAAAGCAAATCTTATCCAAACACATCTAATAATAATTTATTGATATAAATGAGATGTGGAAACAAAGACATTGTGAAAAGCACTTTATGCAGTTTAGTATAATAATGGCTTTGTATTTATAAAATTATGCAAATATTTCAAAATTTTCAGTGTTTTTAATGGTAAAATAAAATTTGACTTTTGGGTAATGTGTTGCATCATCCACAAATAATAAACAACAAATCAAATAATTGTCTGACATCCCTATTCAACCAATCTCGAGTTTGATCTAGAATTTATAATCTAACAGTAGCTGCAGTGACAAAAAAATCTGTAATATTGTTTAAAAATATACAACAACAAGTTATATAACTTTCCCAGAAACATTTAAAATTGTGTGTGGTGCCATCTGTTATATTATTTAAAAAACTTTTTATATAAGTATCTATTATAAAATGGCAAAAAAGCTTAATTTTCAAGATGTAGATCAATTTTATAGAAAAACAAAGTGTAAATGCTAATAACGAATAAAATCTTCACGACCCCGCTCCAGACGACGAGCGATTTCCTTTATCTCCACCCCGTCGACCTCTAACCGTCAAAATTTAATTCATCCATCTCCCTAATACATGAACCTCCCTGCAAAATTTAAGAAATTTTCAACAAAGAGTACAGGAGATATTACACTTTAAAGTGGATGAACAAAATTGTGTCACACACAAACATCCATATGTAAATAAAAAACCTTCAACTGTTTTTGCATTTCTTGATATTTCGGGTCACAAAGTCCAAAAATTTTGGGGATCTTTTTTAACTAAATGCCATACTTTCCTTCTGTTATATACAGGGTTACTACTCAAATTTTTATTTTAATTTTCACCACTTTCCCTGTTTTCTCGCAACCGACTCTGTGCAAATTCCCACCCTCGCGTCCCTTACGATATGGCATATTGACGCAATAAAACAGCATTTGACTTTCTATGTACATATTAACACGTATACATATGAACTTCTCCAATGTTTTAGTTAGTTATTTTTTCTAATTAACAGTTATATTTTTTATAATTGCTAAATTATTAAAATTAAAAATAAAATATACTATTAAAATTCTGTTATNTTTGCTAAAAAAACATTTCTCTGCCAAGTGGCTCCTTCCAGTTCATTCCCAAGAAAAACAACAGGTTTACACACAAGATCCATTATCAAAATATATATAATATATATATTTGTGTATTCACTCCTTATAAAAGATACAATAATGGATCCATTAATGTTTAAAAACAAGGTAACAAAATGTAAATTAGCAAATATGACAGACATACAGACTAATTTTAAACAAAGCTTATTGTAAGAAAATTCATAATTATGGTTTAGTTTTAAGTACAACAAACGTCAAAAACATACCTTGAAATCTCTGCTTAATGGCTAACACTTATAATGTTACTAAATACAAAGATTAGGAACATAGTTGGTCTAAGTTTGTCATCTCCTGCATCAGTTTGGAACACAGTGTGTTCTGGATAAGGGACTTTGTTCTGCAGAAATAGACCTTGGTGAAAAAATATGATAAATCCAAAAAGTATTGTAATGATGACCCAGAAGTCTTGGAACTGAAATCTGTCATGTCACCTAGTATAATAATTTACCTATGTACTGTATCTTAATATATTTATTGTAATTAACACCTTTAAGTACACATACAGAGTACTGTTACAGTTTTACACACAAAGTACATACGGATAGCTCAAAATAACTGTAATTTATCGACACAAGATCAGGTTAATTCCCTTTTGTTTTATTTAGTTATACAGTTCCCTTTGAGATATACAGTTAAGTTGAAGCACTTGTAATTCAAATATAGACATACCATAACAATGTTTGTAAAAATTTGTTAACAAAATCATAAAATGGCTTCTAAATATTCTGAATCATTGCAAACTATGCTTTGATTATAATGTATGATACATGATAAATTACCAGATGGATACAATGTAAAACAAATTAGTGCAGATTGTCTATATTAAACACTAATTTGAACACGGCACAAATCCTCAAAAAGCTTTGATCTTGCAAAAGTTATAATACACACCTTGTTTAAATTTCAAGAATCGTCCAACAGAGTAAACGGCACCAGTCCCATAGGAATGAGGCAATTCGATGTAGTACTCTGTCTCGAACCGCCGAAAAATTCTTTGATTTTGTTGCGCCGACAGCCCGTTGTTTACAGACCCGCGTTCGAGAGCCTAACGTCGATCGGACCGGCCCCGAAAGTAAACGTGCGAGACGCACCGTCAAACAACACAGCAATGTTTTCACGAGAAGTAGCTTTGGGTATTGTTTCCTAATGGTAAGAATCGTAACGACAAAGGTTATCGTAGAAAATAAAAATATGAAGAATAACAGAATAATCCTTCAAGTTAAATTAGTCACTAACAATGTAACTCGGATGATTGTTGGCTTCTACCAACCGAGAATGTTTTTTAAGTCTTCAATACTATCAAGATTGTTTTAAGTACATTTTGCAACTGTCATTTATATAAAATTTGTTATTTTTTGCAATAATTCATAACTAAGCCACCAAATCTATAGAGTACAAAAAACTAACACAAAAAAGTCTAAATAAAACAGATAAGTTAACAAAATATTCAATAGGACTATCATTGTCTTGTCATAAGGATCCAACAGCTTTTGGACTTCTGATATTTGTTTTTTTTTGATACTTTTAATCACTTATAGGTAGAAACTTTTATAATTTGCAATTATACTTTATAAGTTTTAAATATATACATATATATATACATATATATATATATATATATATTTTTTAAATACTTTTATAACAAGAAACTCAATATAACTGAGAACTCCTCAACTCCTCAAAAAACAGATTAAAAAAATAATAACGAACTGGCAAATCCACAAAAGTCTCCCACAAAAACAGCTAAGTCATTAGTAATTAAAATGTTACGGATATATATGCAAAGTCCGGCACAATTCTGCACAAAAAGACGACTCCGACAACGGTTACACAATTCGTCCTCGACCGTGGAAGCAAATATCAATAATCGTAATAATAATAACGATAAAATAATAATACAACAGCAAAACGTACGAAATAGCCGAACACAACAGCATCATTATCATAATAATATATATATTTTTTTCATATAAGGTAAACTCTATCCTTGCAGCAACAGATTTACAAATATTTCATTCTCAATAAATTAAACGAGAGGCGCAGAGGGAGACAAGTCGCATTCCTAATTGGAAACCAGCTTCTCCGCTATCTCGGCCACCACCTCGTCGCGGTTATCCTTGGTGACGACGTAAATCTCCACGTCGTTTCTCTTCTTCAGATCCTCGACGAAGCTCAGCGGCTTTCCTCTGCTCCTCACCGGCACGGTGGCCAGTATCTTGAGCGACGGGGACCGTCCGAACTGTTCCTTGACCGACTGCCGAAAGCACGTACTGAACAGTTCCATCTTACCGATCTCGTCGATGATGAGGACGGTGGGAAGCGAGTTGTCGGTCTCCAGAGCCGGAAGGGCTAGATTTTCGAAGGAACTCAGGTTGACGACGTACTGACCCACCCGGGGGCCGTCGGATCCGCCGCTGCTGATTCTGGCAAGCGGTCCTCTCCTGCCGTCCAGGGAGCAGATGTCGAATCCGATGCGCTTGCCTCCGCTCTTGATCTCTTCCGTGTAGAATCCTTTAGTTCTTATCGTGTTATATTCTTTAAGTTTCTCGTAAACCTTCCTGACTACGGTGGTTTTGCCGATTCCGGGCGGACCCGTCAACAAGATGTGCTTATAACTCAATCCAGCTTCCATTACTCTTCGTTATCTAGCTTTAGACGGTTATTTTAATTCTCCTTCTACGTTTATAATCTATAATATTAAAGAAAACGTAAATATATTTAGTTATAATGGAGGAAATTCCCCTTGGTCGATGGTAGCAAGTGACGATGATGTCAGTGATCTCGGAAATCGAAGAAAATTTTAATATCAAATAGTATTGTAGCGTATTTGTTACTTGTTTTTATTAATAAAAAAGTATTCGTGTCATCTTTCAATTTTTATTTTCATCAAATACCCAACGGAGTATTATCTTTAATAAACTAGTCAACAATTTATCAACCATAATTTAAATAATTTTAATGTCTGACGTCGATAGACGCGACATCAAACAATGATTTCCGACGTCAGAAAAATGAAATTTAAATATAAGTTTTTATTCTTTTGCTATTCAATTTGCCTTTTCCTCCGCATTTTATCCATTTTATTCCCAACCATTTCCCAGTTTTTGATATTAATTTGCATTTTATTCGCTAATTTTCTCGCTATTTCCAATTTTGGGTTGGGTCACGTTTCGCCGCTTCCGCTCGCATGATTCGCTTTTCTTTTATTTGTTTTTTTGCTTTTTTATGAACTTTTTCGCCATTTTGCGTTTTTTATAAAATTTTAATTCTATTTTCGTTAATTTTGTAACGAAATATTACACTTTTCCTACCAATTAGGAGAATTTTTCTTTTAAAATGCCGGTCGTTCGCGTGCCGCGATTCCTCATTTCGGCATTTTTTTCCTTTTCGCTCGATTATTTTGTCTCGTGACCTAAATGAAACTCCCGTTCGCAATTTACTGCCGATTTTCCGTTTGACTTTAATTTACGGAAAAAATCTCGCACCAATCGATAAGAGCGAAATAAGAGACGTGGAATATTAAAATTGGTGGAAAAAGCAAAACACGATAAAGTCGGCCATTTTTCTGATAAAAGCTATTAAATGTGCCGAAAAAGGAATTTGTATTAGGACTTAGGCAAAGAGTTAACACGTTTTTACAAGTTTTGTATTTTCACCAATTCTGAAAAACACTTGGCGTTTTAATAATATTTTTGTAAAGTCGCTGGAACACGATGCGAAAAAATGCAAAATAATTCAAATTGTAAGCAAAATTTTTCATCTTTTGAGATTTTTGTCAAGCAATACGCTCAAATGAGTGGTTTCTCGAGTCGTCGACGTCACTCGGAGCGATATGACTTCAAATTCTTTCCTCACTCCTCGTAATAACGACGTAAGGATGCGGTTTCAGTATTCTCCTTTTATCAAATTTCAATCGTATCATTTTATGTATGATATATGCGCCATCTTTGAAATTCTAATTCGGTTACTGGTAAACTTTTAACATACGTTTCGCATCGTTCTAATAATCGAAATTTCCAAACAAAATATTTTTTAAATAGAAAATCATTACCGCGTGATTTTTGTACATATTTAATTAATTAAAATAGAATCGGTATATTCACCCGCGCTTTACAATTACATTATATCCAGTTAAAATTTGGTTTTGCCGTCCATAATTGAAAGAATGCCCTTAAATGTTTCTTCATTTACGCAAAGTTTGTCCACCGACCGACCATTCCTTACGAATGTGTGTATATTTAAATAATTTCCACCAGTGGTGCGCTGTTGGTGTACAAAATAATTTTATAAATAAATTCGGCTGCAGGAATACAAAGAGAACTTTATTCGTGCCTATTAAGGAATCAATCGATTATTGTGATTTGGTTTTGGTCTTATTCGATTACGGCTATGCGACGCACGGGCCAACTTTCGAGGGAAATGCCTCCGGAGTCTTTTATGAGGAGTCGATCCCTATTTAGGTTTTACTGACGCGAAGAAAACCCGGAGAATTTTACGTGGCCGGCACACGACAAACTACCAGTGTTTTTGTTCGACAAAAATCCACAGACCTGGCTGTTTTACGGGCTTCCCGAAAACGACGGTGATGTAACATCGTCGTCATTATTTATTACGGGACAGTTTTTCAAATCAATCGTAAATTTTGGAATGCTGTAATAAAATAATTAATAAGATTGATACAATGTTTAATATTTTCCATTTCAAAGAAAGATGTTGTATATAAGACAATCTACACAATTTTTTCCGAAAGATAGTTTCGCGTAATAGGATTGACTAAACGACAGAAAAATTTTTAGTTTAGTCCCGACTCTTACTAAAAACGTCCGTTAGCTTTTTAATAAGAGCTTTGTGAGAAATCGAACCCGGAATCTCACAGAATGGCAGGCTATCTTCGAGTTTGGTTTGCTGTCGAGTGGCGAGAAATGATTCTTTATATTCCGATGTCTGTAAAGACACTTTTAGCAGCATTCTTAATCAGATTCGGCAACCTCCGGAGGAAATTAGACTGATATCTATGCACCAAAGAATCTACACAGCCTATACATATAAGGCCCTTATGTTAATTCTCTCAGTTCTGCGAGAGAGTCTTTATTCGAGTACGAGTATAAATGAAGCCCCAAGAGCGCCTTTATTCATACTCGTCGCAGGTTCGGCCAGATCCGCGATGGGGACGACCAAGAACAGTAAAGGACTGGACCAGCCGATAAGAAATTTTGGAGGTTTTTCGATTGCCCGGATCACAGGCGTAACGAAGAGGGACGAAGATGGGCACAAAATCTGTTCGGTCGGATCCCCCAGAGGGGCCTACCGACGCTTTAATTATATTAAATAGCCGAACGCTGGCAGCCTAGACTCGGTCTCGGGACCGACTGAAGCAGGGGTAGCCAAAGTGGTCGATATAACATTATTAGGGGGTTGATTATCGAGCTTAAGCTAAGGATAAGGGAGAGCTAAGGATCAAGCTTATCCGTCTCACTGATTGTCAGTTACAAAAATTATTATTAACAAATATACAATAAATGAAAAAAAAAATGCAAAATTAAAAGAAATGTATTAAAATAGTAAGTAGTTTGTTTCGCTTTTAACACAGACTTTTTGGTGGGGTCGATGTGAGGTTTCGGAAACTTGTAGGTGGTCGACGATCAAAAAAGGTTGGCGACCTTTGGACTAAAGCCAATCAATCGCGATCTTTGACCAGATGCTTACCAGAATTGTATGATACGAAATATCCGCTACACTGGATGGGCTGACTTCATAGTTCGGAGAAAACTCGTACAGATAAGAAATAATACTTTGTATTAGACTCGAAGTCCACGAAAGGTAATTCCGATATATTTAATTTCCATAAAAACAGTTCACGCAGAAATATTTCAGAAGAAACCAGTGGCGAAAGAAATCCTCAGTTGTCATCTTAGTCTATCCCACTACCATAAAACAAGAACGCGGAACCAGACAGCTAGATGGCCGCTCTCCGAGACTCGAACGTAGGCTTCATTTACGTTAGAAACCAAAGGGATTTTTCACGGATGGTCTGTCCCCAGCACGTCGAGCCCGCAGCTATTCTCTTTGCGGGCCTTTTTTCAATTCGGTGCCCGCGGAGAACTGCTCGCGACGGGATTATACTTCGAGTGCGTTTAGTTTGTTCAAGAAATTAAACCAAATAGATTCCTTGGTACGAATTTCTTTAAAAGCAGTTTTTTGAACATTTTAATCGGAGATAAAAAATTACTGTTGAATCAGAAACAAAATAAGAATGTTAATGTTACTGAATGGAGGAACTATCAACTCGGGAAGGTTCCGTAAAGTAAGCGCAATTGGTCGGCGACAATTTACGAAATATTATCGATGTAATCTCCGATGACCGACACCGGAGTAATTCCGCGGCACTATTTTCTTTATTCGTACTTGTAGCTAAAGAAGTAGCAATTAATCCCGCAACACTTTTCAATATAATTAAACGGAGACCGTTTACATTGATTGTTACTCCGGATTTAAGACTTCTTTTTGATTTTAGTAAGCGAGGGTAATATTTTTGACAACTTATTTACTATAAAAGTTACTTAATTATTTAAAAACCACAAAGTTTTGCCCACCTTCGTATAATAGTAAACAATCGTCGCATTTGTCATACTCGGACAGACCGCTACTACATTTTGTTCTAAAATTATTTTTTTTCACGGTCAAATTTGAAGAAATTAAAATGAAAATAATTTTCTAAATTTTGATATAAATTATTTACATCGAGACGACTTAACTTTTACCTTTCTAAACGTCTTTTGCTCTTACCTTCAAACACCGACCGACGGAGCCGTGTAATAACAACACAAGCCGACTTCTCTCAATGCCAGATAATGTCGGAAAGTAATTTATTTTAGTTGTACGAAAACGGCACACCGTAACACCGGTTTCGGTCAAGTTCTTACACTCTGCACATTCCCGTCCCGCGCAAGTTTAACAATTACGACGAAGCGCTATCTATTACAGTACAGCGTCGTTTATCCGAAAGAGTTCCAGTCGGCAAAATTAAGTTTCCGTTAGTGCTGTGGCGCTGCGACCTTTGGCTATGTCTCGGGCTACTCCAATATTTTTTTGTTGGTGCGCGTGTTTTAGCTGGCAGCACTGGCACTTTTGTGTGGCGTTTTTCTGAAAACTGTCTGTGGTGCCGATACCAGATTAACTTCTAAAGTACAATTTTTGTTTATTTTTATATTCTTCAATATATTTATTTTGTTTGTACAAAATAAAGAAAAAATTTTTAANTAAATATTTAACAAAAATGATATATTTTATTTTCTGTTGCATTTAAAAATTTTACATTTTGTTCTATTCTTCTGATGTATTTTGAATGCTTTTTTATTGGGCTGCAATTTGAAAAAATTCTAGACCTATAAATTACCACTGTCGTCAATCTGTCCATCCGTCTTTCCTTAACTTTTTAAATACGAAAGCGGCCAAAATCGGCCTTATCCATTAAAAACGAAATCGGACGATTGAAAAGTCGGACTAGTTTTTCTATACAAGATCCCCCAGTAGCCTGAGGGGTAAAAACAATTTAGGCATTAGCAACAGTGATGAATTGAGTTTTCACAGCTTAAAGAGTTAATCTCAAGAATGGAGTTAGACAGATAAAAAAAGAGATCGGATATGGAAACTTTAGGGGCAGGAGACCCCGATTAACTATATATAGACTTCCAATACAGATAGGAAGTCACGTTATTTCAATTCAAAACTTTTTCCCCGAAAAGTGTTAGATAGATGACCAGCACGACTATTGTTAAAGGAAAAGTGTAATGTATGGGAGCAAGCCACTACTAATTTGAGATGGAGAGCATATATTTTAAATTAAATAAATAGAAATATGATTAAAAATTGCAGCCCGGCATTGTGACAATGTCACGATAAATAAT